TTAATTCCTCCATTTCCCAGAGGGCACCCAGAACAGCCACCTTCCCTCTGTCACACATCAGGCTGTCTGGAACTAACTGAACCCCTTAGTGAACCCATCTTTTGGTTTTGTACAATCTCTTGTGCTGATTTCTTGCAGATTATGGAGGGAGCCAAAAGCAGATTGAAGGAGGAGTTTGCTGTCTAGCTCTATTCTGTGCTGACCCTCACACACCCCCTTTACAAGTCTATGAGCCTAGGTTATCTAGGCAGCCAATCCCAGTGCTGCCCCTCTGACTTGGGCTCCTCTCTTCATTGACCAAGCAGCACTTGCAGAGGCATTCCACACCCGACTAGCATGCTGGGCAGGGGATCCTGCAGTGATGATCCCCCTGGTCATCTTGATGGCACAGCCATGTTGTCTGATTGCTTTCAGAGTTTTGTTGAATTCTTTGGTTGCTGTAGAAATCTTTCTAGTAACCTTAGCCATGGTTACCTAAACCACATTTGTTATTACCCTGACTTCAGCGTCATCTGACAACTTCCTTGCTTTATCCACAGCAGTAGTAACAGCTGTTACAACAACTTTTTATCCCAGCTTCAGCACCACTCTTAAGAGTCCTTAATATGAAGACTGCCAGATTTACACCAGCCAAGTCCAGGATTCCAGGGCGGCGCCTGTGGAGTTGGCCACCACACTGGAGAGGGCACAGCCACTGGGAATTTGTTCTATATGGTCAGCTTCCTGCTGGTTACCTCGAACTCCCCTTTCAACTGAGGAACAGATTCTAAAAACCTCTTCCTGCTCTGTTCTTTTTCAAGGCTTGTCATTGTTATCTATGGCCACGTGTGCTACAAGCTCCTTCAGAGTTTCCGGCCCCACAGCTGCCTCCTCCTACGACAGAAGAGTAATCCGTGAGGATCACACATTCCAAATCAAGCCTCATGTAAAGATTGAGAACATTTTAGATCCAGCTGTAGGATATGTTAGGCCGGAAGTGTCCTGGATATTAATAGGGCAATAGGGGACGTTTTTTCTTCTGGGTCAGGACCTCACTTCCCTCAGATTCTCCACTTGTGAATATTGTCTTCAGACCACACTGACTCTGGAAGCTGTCTCGATCCTCCTGATATTTGGGAGCGCTGAATAGAATAGAAAAGCCACCCAAGAAGTCTACAGCAAAGACAGCGTGTGATGAGCACCTTTGAGCACAGCGCTGCACATCCGTGGAGTGTGAGATTGGAGCAGGGCTGACAAGTGTCCCTTCTCCCTCTCGCATGTCCTCTGTTAGCCTCTTCTGTCTTCAGTTCCTCCTTGTCCTTCCAACCCTGGTGTCCTCACCTTCTACCTACACCTCCTTTCTGGGGTCACTCACTGTCTCCCCTGGACCCTGGCTGAGACCCTGGTCCTGATCTCTCTGGTCTCTGGGAAGGGAGCTGGCACTTGGTTTCCCGTCCCTGAACTGCTGCTCATCCCAGGCTGTCATCATGTCCTATCATCCTGCACTTTTATTCCTCCTGAACACAGCTGGGCTCCAGATCTCAGTAAATACAGTCAAGCTCAACCCAGCTCTGTGCCGCTGCACTGTGGGCTCTCGGCCTCCTCAGTTCACAGAGGACCCTGCTGTTGTTACAGCTCCTCAAATGGGAGGAAAGTGACTGAGACAGGACCTGGGGACACAGCTAACCATGTCTACATTTTTCTGACTTGTTCTCAAATGAGTTCTTAAGTCCTTATTCCTACAAGGAGATTTTTGATCTGGTTTTCTCCCATTAGCTTTTCAAGGGTACCTTTCAGGAGCATCGACTGTGTGCTGATCATTCTGAGCACTCCATGTCAGGATCCTGTTCCTCTTACACTAAGTTTCAATAGCAATGGCACTGGGTTGAGAAATGGTAACTGACTTGCCAAAGCCACATAACTGGGAGGTGATAATAGTGGTCCTTCCAGCTGTGGACATCCTAGCCAAGACAGTGGCCTCCTGTCCTATTAGGATGCAAGGGAAAGTTGATCAGTTGAAGTTGTGATCTTGAGAAGGGATTGAATGAACACATTGGAGAGATGAGGTTCAATGTTCTGGCATCTGGGGGTGGGAACTGCATGTTACAACGGCAATAGCTAATATCTATGGCACATGGTTGTGGACTTCCATGCTAGGACTCCTGATTCATGGAAAGGAGACTCTGACTGTGCACACTTGCTCTGTCCACACTCAGCCTCTTGCCCTGAGCCATCGGGTGATTGATACGTGGATCCTCTTCCTGAGGATCTCAGAACTGCAATCCCACCTGAGGTCTTTCTCTGGAATATCATCACTGCCTCCAACCCTGTACACGGTACTTTGTGGACAAGCTGTGCCCACGGGCTCTTCCCTTCCTCATGTATTTATTCTTTTCTCTATGTCATGTGGACAGCAATGGAACGAGGCCGCCATCACACTCCACCCAGAAGGGAGCAGAAGATCAGCTCTATGAGTCCGTCCTGAAACTTGTCAGGGTTCTTAAATCTTCTACACTTTTTTCTCCCAGAGCACTGTACTCGTCATAGAGAGATAGCAGGGAAGAAGGCGAGGTGTGAGGTCATCGTGATTGTCCCCTGGGCTGAATAGCAGACAGCGTGTGTGTTAATAGAGCTTGTCTCTGGTTGTATCTGAATTTGCAGAGATTGTTCTGGAAGGCTCTGACTTGATGAGTGGTTTAACTTACCGAATGAGTAGAATTCTGGAGTCTGTAAGGAAGTGGGCTACACTTCGAGACTATGGGTCACTCGGAGCATGTCATCGAATGCAATTCTTGACTGTGTCTCCTCCTGTCACTCCTTGGTCCTGGCTTCCATGTGGTAAACACTTGCCTTTGCTGTGCCTGCCCAGTGAGCTTGACCTCAGGACAGCTTCAGTTTCCTCGCTGTGACTGCACTCAGTCCGTGTGCTCACAGGGTCCTTGATTACTCATCAGAGACATGGGTTCGTAGAGCCGTTGTGACAATCAGGTAAAGAACAGTCTCTCACCATAAGTGACACCCTGGTGACAATCCTTGAGGGTCCTGTGCCCTCCCTGTACACAGGACAACCGCCCACCTCTCCTCCTCCTCCATCATTTCCATTTCAATAGTTTATCTTTATAGCTGGGTTCAGATGTCACACTCACTTCAGCTGGGTCTGTGTTGACTGAGCATGTGCCAGGGACAGCCATCTGCAATGCTGTGGACAGCCCTTTTTGTGGCTGAGGAGTCACAGCCCATCATGAGAACCATCCTATCTTCCAACATACAGGACACCCTTGGTGCCTGAACTGAACACAGACCCCAGGGGCAGCAGCTGCAGGCACAGTCCTGTTGTCTGTCACTTGTGTTGGGCAGGGACAGACCTGGTCACAGCTCACCTCTGTGCTGACCTTCCTTCACGCTGTCTGCCTCTCCTGTCCATTTATGGGTCCTCTACTCATCTCTGAGCCTCACTGGTCTCTTTCCATAGCCTTCCCTTTTGTTAAGAACACTTCTAACACCTGAGATATATTATTATATCATAGAAATTGGTTTTAATTTCTTTTTAAATGTATCTCTATTTTGAAAATATGCTGCTACCTACTAGAATACTTTCACCACCCATGAGGTAATGCTGTATCTATGAGAAGTGACCATGGGCTGTGTCAATTCTCACCGACACCCACCATGCTTGTTTGTCTCTGTCATAAAGGAAGGTGTGTTCCTGGTGGGCAGAACCATGGAGGTGAGGTGGCCCTGGACTGGAAGCTGCAGGGAGCTCTCTGGGCACTGGACACCTAAGTGATCATTCATTGAAAGGGCTATGGTGCAGTTGTTTTGAGAGGCCTGTGAGCCTGGAAGAGTGCAGTGACAAAGGCACAGGCTCTTCAAGTAATGTGTGTCCTAAGGGCCACACTGACGGAGTCAGGAAAGAGTGTAGGGTTCAAGGTCAAGGATGTGGTGAGCTATGGTGATGGCTCCTGAGTTTGTTCAGGGACAGAATCTGAGCCTTGGCACAGTGTTCACTATAACACGGACACATGGGCTCAACAGTAGAGAGGACTCCATGAACTTGGACACTAAGGAGCAAGTTGCTAGGCGGCTCATGATGCAGATAGATTTCTTTCCCATGTTTGTCCACTACTCAGTTCTCTTACCATTCTGAGCCCCCAGGGCAATGGTTTTGTCCACATCCAGCTGTCCCTTAGCCAGACATCCTTCCAAGCAATGATAGAAGGGGCTGTGTGACCCAAGAATGATCCTCTAACAGACAAAACCCAGGAAGTACACATGTCATTTCTCTGTCTCAGGTGTTCAGAACTTAGGAAGAAGGCCACTTGAGTGGTAAGGAAGGAGGGGACACTGCTCACTGCTGCAGCCTCAGGATGCTCCTGTGGCCAGAAGGGGAAGGTGAGATCAAGAAGGAAAATGGTTCTTGTATAAATTTCAAATATTCTTGTTAATCCACAATAAAGAAAACAGTTTTAAAAAGAGGAGATGATAGAAATCTGGAGACAATTATCAACTTTCTGTAGTCTACAACCTAGAAAACACGTGATATCATTTTCATAAAACACAAAGCATGACCAGGCCGGTGTTTACAAACTAATTCTTCACATATAATGGAGCAAGTGTAGCTTTCATGTGCATCTCAGCAGATCTCATCCAAATAGAACAGGTGTTAAACTTCAGTAGGAATTAAGCCTTGTGATTTCCCCAAGAGTCTGCTTACAGAGAGCAGAACTCACCACCACATCCTGTCACCCCTCCTTCCTGTAGAGCCCACGGCTGGCACATAGGACCAAGAACCTGATGACCCTGCAGATGGTGTCCCCAGCGTCCCTTCCTTTCCACCCTCTGATCATTCCACCAAAATCTCCATCACTCCATGTGACCAAACCATGAAGAAAGAAATGGGGTTCACACCCAGAATCTGATTGTAAGATTGGGAAATAATTGGAAAAACACAGAATGAGGCAGAACTACGAAGAAGGAGAAGGTCAATATGAAAGCAGTGGGAAAGTTGGCAGCTCGGGGACCTGTGAGGATGGTGAGCCTCTGTTAGGAGCAGTGTGGTGGGTGTGACTGGGGAGCAGCCATGCTGTGGCTTAGCCAGGCCTTGGATGTTCTTCCCAGCTTGGGAGCGTGGTCCTTATGTGGGATGTTGGAGGTTGTTGGATCTAAGAGGGAGGTGGAGTCTAGTGGGAGGTAACAAGCCTGTCCCATCTGTGTTCTGTGTTCTGGTTTCCTTTCTCTTGATGTGGCCTCTCCTCTAGCAGGCACTACCACTGTTATGGCATTGGTATAAGGAGGATACATTCAGGAACCATCAAGTTTCCATGGCTCTGTCCAGCACACCCCACCCCCAGTCCTCCGAGCTGCACTGAAGAAGGGGTCACTGAGTCAGGCTGTCATGAACCCGGATGAGCTCCTGCAACTTCTTCTCCAGTTCCTGAGCCTTCTGCCGCAGCTTTGCAGCAAACTCTGTACCCTCCTGCAAATGCTTTGTGTCTTCTATGATGCTAATTATATCTAGTGCTAGGGAGTGACTTGCAGTGGCTGCAGCAAAGATCCGGTCGTTTTTGGTCATTGCCAGCGCAGTGCCTCCAAAGGCTTTCTTCACCTCTTTCATGCTTTTGGCTGACACCTTCCCTGTGGTCATTAGACGCTTAGCTTTATTTGCTAGGCGAGGGTTGGCTTTGGTCAGCTTGATGGCATCAATGTTCTTCTTTATGTCATCCACAGTGTTAACAAATTTCTTAGATACAGAAACAAGCCCGGTGATGATCTTCTCCAACGATTCTGTAATGTCCTTCTCAGTGTTGTTGATTTTAATGTCATTCTCAGTATCGTTGCTCCTTGTCAGAAGCTGTCTAGCTTCAGCTTCCACCGAAGCCGTGCTTACCTTTTCCACAATTTTTGCGGAAACACTCGTCACAGCTGCTGCTGCTCCAAGTCCCAAGCCTGTGGCTGAAAGTCCCAGACTGACCCCTGCTGACACAGGTGCCAGAGCGATACCAAGGACTGTCAGGAACCCAGACACAGCACCGGTGGACTTGGCCACCACTTGTGTGATGGTGCAGTCCCTGTGCACCTTGTCAATCTTGTCTGCAAGGGCGTGGAGCTTCCTGATGCTCTCCTCAAGCTTCCGTTTCATCTGAGGATAAACTTCCAGAAACCTTTCCTTCTCACGTGAGGCATCTTTCACTGTCCTGTAAAGGGAGAGACAAACTAACTGAGTGAGGAAGAGAGTTTGGAAAGATCTGTCCTGTGGCAATCAGAGCATCTGCTAGGAGTGAAATGGAGGAGAGTCTTACAGCTGTACAATGTTGTTCTTGCATTGATGAGCAGGTTGGATCCACCACACAATGTTTAATTGTTAAGGACAATGAGTTAAACCATATTACTATGTCCTTTAAATTTTTTATTTTATTTGTTTCAGTGTTTTGCCTCTGTGTGTGTGTGTGTGTTTGTGTTTGTGTGTACCATCTGCAGGCCTGTTGCCATGAAGGGCAGAAGGAATTGGATCACTAGACCCAGAGTTACAGGCAGTTGTGAGTCATCATGAGGATGCTGAGAACTGGATGTCAGCCACCTGGAGGAGCTGTCAGGGCTCTTAACTCCTGAGTCATCTCTAGTCACTTACCACACATTTTTATTGCTAGACATTTAATAAATATGACCTCTCCTGAAGGCCAGTGTCATCACTACCAACATACTTCTCTGTAGGAACTCTAAAACACAGAGAAGTGAGGTTAGAGGAAAAAAAAAACCAACAACAACAACTGTATTTTAGGAAAGTTAGTGTTCTCCAGAGCACACTTTTCCCAATAAAAAACCTCCTCTTGGCATCAGCTACTGGGAACTGACCTGTCTACCCTACAGTGACCTGCTGGAGAGGACTATCCACATTTGCTCTGGGACTTGTGATTCGAGAGTCTGCAAATTGCACACCCCTGAGAGAGAAACCCTGCACAGGTATTTTTTGAAGCTGATGTCTCTTTGCCCTGCAGCTGTGTGTATACCTGAGCTGGTGGGGCCGCTCACAGCTAAGACCCTTCCCCTCAAAACCCAGCACATGAATCTCCTTTCCAGCTGTGATCAGAAGATAAAGAACCATGAGTGGATCCCCATTTCCATGTGGGTCCCATCCCCAAGGCACCTCACTGTGACTCTGCAAGTGTTTCCACGGCAGGCAGAACCGAGAAAACCAAACGTGTAGGTTCCCTAGCTCTCGCTAGAATTCCCAGGCTGAGAAGGGTGATGTGTGGTGGGATTTTGCTGTCATTTCTGACCTCCAGGGGATCTAGACACTAAAGGCCTGTGCTCCAAGAGGGAGGGAGACCCTGGATCTCTTGCGGGGACTCTGTATGTGATCAAGGACCACCAAATTTCTGGACACTGAGTCTCATGTTGACAAATACTTTTCGTTGAATCAACTTTACTTAAGTTTTCATAAACTGCTCCCAGAGTGTGGCTTAATCTTGGCTTTCTGTGCCTTTTCTGAGCATGGTTGGTGTTCCCTGCCCAGACTTGTCAAGAATCTTAAGTCAGTTGTGAGACTGCCCTACTTTTGATACTCAATACTCAATCAAGTTCCTGTGTTTAACTTTTGCTATCTTAGTCTTGACCTCCCTCAGGAAGAATCCCATGAGGTCAGCTTCACAGTGCCCCTGCTCCCTGCTCACTACTGCCCCTCACTCAGCTTGTCTGCCAGAGTCCCCAGCTGAATGCCTATCCAGAAGTGTTCTGTCTCTTCCCTTTAGGGCAGCAGTCCTGAACTGCTCCTTCCTGACTGCTAACTCGTGTCAGAATACGGCTTCTCTGCCAAGGCATCTTTCTTGGTGTGTGTCACCTTGTGTGAGCTCTCACGTGACTGTGCTGTGTCTTGAGGACAGCAGACAATTCTCCCTTAATATCTAGATGCACCGTTGGGATGTGGCTAATTTTGTAAAGCGTTTGCCAGGAAAACACGTGGACCTGAGGTCTGTGTTCCAGAGTCCACGTAGAAAAGCTAGGTACAATTCTTTCTATCAGGCTACTGTTACCTTAACCCAAACCACACAACAATGGAACAATGAAAGAGTCTCATGTAGAACACTGATGCAAAAACTTCACAAAATATTGGCAAACTCAATCGTAGAACACTTAAAAAATCATTCATCATGAACAAGAAAAATTCATCTCTTACTTGATGTTTCATGTAGGAAAGTCTGTCAATGCAAGCTACAATATAAACAGACTCCAAGAAAAAAACCACATGATCATCTTCTTAGATGCTGAACAAAGCCTTTGGCAAAATCCACCCCCTTTCATGATAAAGGTTTTACAAAGATCACGGACACAAGAAACATACCTAAATATAATATAAACAATCAACAACAAGCCGACAGCCAACATCAACTTAAATGGCGAGAAACTGGACAAACCAGCTCTTTCCACAAGTAGTTTTCCGAATCCGTCTATGGTCGGCAGGAGCTGCAGGGCCACTGTGCTCCATGTGTCCCAGAGATACTCAACCACAGACATGATGAAGCCTTTCCTCTCTAGATTGGAAGGAAAAGGAATATGNACCTCCACTGGAAAAAGAAACACATTAGAATATCACCTGGCCTGTCACCTTCTTAAGTCTCGTTAAGATGTCTTCTGTTTAGGACACAAGGAGAGGCCAGACATGGCCATTGATCAGTGTCCGGGATCTGTGTGAGACGGCACCAGACTCCCCTGGTCTGCTCAGGTGTATGAATGTGTGGCGTCCACCCTGGTTGTCTCTACTGTGTGTCTCTCTATGTGTTTCTGTCAGTTCTATTTCCCTGTATTGACCTGACCAGTGGCTTTCTCTGGTGTGAGAGAGGAAAGAAAAAAAGACAAAACAAACCGGTCTGTCTGTTTATGCCCTGTGCCTTCTTGTCGGGGACCTGAATCCTTTTGGTTCCGCTAGATCACCCAGAAGCCTAAATTACCTCTGCCTGTCCCACTCCAAGAGCATTCTACTGTTTTGTTGCTGGACTCCCATTCATGGCTGGAGTCAGTCCCAGTCTCTATGAAGTGTTGGGGGGCCCCGGGGGGGGGGCTGACATCTAAGCAGAATGCCCACAAGGAGAAATAGTTTCCAAACCACACACTTCCTTTTCTCCCCTTCCCCCTTTCTCTAAGCAGCCCCTGGGAACAGGAAATGTTCCCCTGAGCAAAAGAGGAAGTTCCACTCCTTCCTCTTTCATGATGTATCTTTTTCAACAAGCAATCTATGTAATTGGAGAACTCAAAACCTACCATTTTTTTCCAAAAGTAGAACACCCCTCCCCCAGAACCTTGTCAGTGTGCGGATTAGAGCAGGACTAGTCAGCCTGGACAGAATGGATTTTCCCTTATGTCCAACACTGACCAATGGGACTTTAAATAATTTTCCCCAGGTTCTTTCAGAAGGATGAATGACAGCTGCTGAAAGATTTCTTTTGTCAGCCAGTTGGCCCCAGATGTTAGAAAATAGTTAGAAAATTTAGAAAAATGTATAGGTATAAACGGGTTCCAGTTGCTGGAGGAAGCTCAAAGGCATTTAACAGCAGAGAACCAATTGAGAGACGACACCTTTTGCATAAACTTAAAGCCACTGTCAACTCTCATGATGAGACACAGTTAGACTTACAGACTCTGTCAGAAGAATATCTCCTAGCTCAAAGTCCTACCCTTTATCAAAGGATACAGCTGGACTATCTCTTGGATTTACAATTATTGGGGATATGGGCAGAAATCAACCCCTCAATACTGCCCCAACACCAAGTTC